CCGCAGCATGGTCGACGGAAAGCTTTGCAGGCCAGTAAGAATTCATAGCAAAACACTGCGACACCCCCGGCCTTATGGAAAGACGTATGTTTACTTGAAAGCGCTTCGGCTGTCCCTTTGTTTGTTTGTTTGTACCCTCTAATCCATGGCTCGATCGTACCCACTCTGGGGGATTGGCCAAGAGTCCCTTTGCATGTTGTGCTTCTTCTATCACAGTGACAGTGGTCCATGCCATGCAGGCTATCTGTGAGTGCACGCACAAATAAGCTTATGTCAAAAGTGCTCCTCTCCATCTGTCTGTTTTTGCATGGTCCTGCAGGAACCCATTTGATCGGCAGTAAACAATATTAATTAGCATGCCCGCATTAGCTAGTGTTGCAGGGTCACGTCTGCATTCACTTATAACCAATTTAACTGAAGTGAAATTTTATTACAGCTAGCCTTTTATGCCTCTTCTCTCGCAGAATGCTGTCTGCAACAATGTGCTCTCCGTAATGTCTTACCCTCTGATGCTGGTTAAGGCTATCAATGTCATTTAATGCTCTACTGATAGTAATAACAAATTGACAGACAATCACCCACTGTTAGCATGTAATCTATGCATTCGTTCAACAATGTACATTCACTTAGTTCAAGCAGTTGTAGACAGAGGGGACGCATATCCAAGCGAGGTCAGCATTGAGCAAGCTGAACTAATCGCTTGGTGTGGCCGTCCAAGGCAATTCAGCTCACTCATACTACTACAGTCGAATCCCGATAATTACGAACTCGAAGGGGCCTGAAAATTTGCTCGAATTAAAAGAAGTTCGAATTAATGAAAGCTAAGTAAACAGAGGGCTCCCCATGCAGTGGCGCATGTGCATTGAGCTAACACAGGAGGGGGTAGTTTAAGAAGATTTATATTTATTCACAAATCACAGGACATCCGTTAATAATTGAAGTAATCGCTAATGCGCGTCTGCACACATTTGCCTTGCAGCGAGCCAATCAATTTCGCGTGCAGCTTGCAAAGCATTTCTACTTCGGCTTCAGCATTCTCCTGGCAAGAGAAGTCACGCGCGAAAACGTCGACACTTTCTAAAGACGACAACAACGACTGCTGCGCATGTTTTTCCTCACTCTATGCTGCTGCGTATCAAAGCCTCCCGCTCTCCGCTACGCAGCCGCAGCATGGCCAGCACGGGACGAGAAAGGAGGAGCGTCTCCACGCGGAGAGAAGCAGATCGGTGTTTCAGTAAAAACCAACACTCCACGGCAGCTCTTTTTTTTTTCTGTCTGTACATTTGTGTGCTTGTCCACTCTTACCGGCAGGGGGTACTTGAAACGGCCGACCTTGCGCAGCGACCACCAATCTTGCTCAAGGTTGAGCGTTCATGCTTGTGCAATTGTTAATTGAAATAAATTATTATGCATGTCTGGGGCACAATAACAACATGCATATATTCTGCATATGCATCTCTTACTAGAAAACGCATACATAAGTAATTTTAAGGACCGTAGTGCTTATCACGTTGCGCTTACCATGCAACGCTTGCACGGAACGGGGAGTGTTTCCAACGCTTTGCTACACGGAGCTTTGCTAAAACGAGATGGTGGTGGCACCTACCCGTCGCGTCGTATTCTACACCTTATCACCTCTGAGACGGGCGCGCACGGCCACGCGCTTTGTTTTCCAAAAGAGACTGCCAGATAGGCGCTCGTATCTCACGTGTGATATATACGTGATGACTAAAGGTAACAGGAATGCAGCAGTGATAAAAAATAGAGCACTGTGGAATTACAATAGGTATGATGTTGTGAGAGGAATATGGAAAGGGGTCATGGTTCCTGGGCTGGCGTTTGGCAATGCGGTCTTGTGCATGAGATCAGAAGTTCAAGCAAGATTAGAAATTAAGCAACTGTGGAATAGGTAGACTTGCTTTAGGAGCTCACGGGAATACACGAAATCAGGGAGTACAATGTGATATGGGATGGACATCATTTGAGGGCAGGGAAGCTAGCAGCAAGATAAATTTGAGAAGCGATTGAGAGAAATGGGGGAGGAGCGTTGGGCTAGGAAGGTTTTCAGCTACTAGTACATGATGAATGTCGATACAAAATGGAGGAAGCGAACCAGGAAATTGACTGGTAAATACTTAGAAAACAGCAGGTGGCCAAACCAAAAAGAACTATCGGTTAAGCAGAAAGTGAAGGAAACGGAGACTGACATGTCGAGAAATTGGCATGATTAAGAAGTCCGCACTAGATATCTATCGAACTTTTAAGCAGGAAATTGCCAAGGAAAGGATCTATGATAATACTCGGTGTAGTTCTCTACTGTTTGAGGCCAGGACAGGAGTATTGCGAACCAAGACATATCGGGCCAAATGCGAAGGAGTTGACACGGTATGCAGTGCATGCGGAGAAAGGAAGGAAACTGCCGAACACTTGATAATGGTCTGTAAAGGGCTTCACCCTTTAGTTCAGGATGATGGCGCAGAGTTTTTCAAAGCACTGGGGTTTGGAGACCGGGGGTGGGGGGCAAAATAGACTTTAAGCGGGTAGAAATTACTAGAAGGAGGTTATCTGATTTGTGGCTAAAGTCAACGCACGAGTGAAAATTTAACCATTCACTGCTAAGTACCCGACCTATACGTCACTACTTATAGAGAAAATAAAAAAAAGATAAATCTAGTTGGTGGTTCACTATTTATTACGGCTAGATGACGTTAGCCGCCGCCCGATCTAAAGGGTGCAGCCACATCAATTCATTCATTCATCCAGCCTTCGTAACGAAGGAGGAGGGTAAATTCAGAGGGTAGGGCTATGGTGGCTAGAAGTAGAGGTGTCAGCATCGTCCCGGCCGCGCCTTGAGAAGTGTGCTGGTATTTCAGTTCGCCGTGAAGCGGCGCGCAAGTCGCCACCGTGATCGGTCGAGAGCGCTCGCCCGCCTCTCGCGCGGCACTTTTGGTCGCTTGCTCGTGTGTTCGCAAATTGCAACGTCTGCGCTTTGCCTATTTGGACTTGTTCATGATCAATACGTGCCAATGTGATCATGCCACAGTGATGGGTAAGCAGCAAAGACACTGCTTTGCACCTGGATGCAATGCGGGATATGTTTCGGCCCGCAAACAAGGGAAGAAAGCGTCTCTCTTCTCTGCTCCCGCCGACGATGAACGGCGCAAGGCCTGGGAGCGTGCGATTCCTCGCGCTGATAAACCACTGGAAATTAAGTACGTTGTGTGCGAAGCTGATTTTGACGAAATATTAATCGTCCGTAGCTTTATGTATGTTATCAACGGGTTCTTAGCAACTTGGAAAATAGCTGTACCTTAGGAGGGTGGGTTCCTGAGTGAATCAACTGCCGAAGGACTCCGCGTCACTTTTACCAGCATCCTTTCCATTCGGCACTATGTCACGAACACCTTGGACTATAAATACTTGATGACGTCTCGCCTCTGCCAAGACGCGCTTAAAATCTTTTTGGAATTCTGAAGCAAATGTCTGGCTCGAATGATCACCCTTCGCCGACACAATTTTTTATCTCTTGTGAATTGCCTCAGTTTTTACAGCTTGGCGCAGTCACCCTCCAGTGGAAACATACCTTCTGGATTCCTGAGCAGCCTTATATGTCCGCGCATTTACACTAATTCAATAAAATTGCAGAATAAGCTGGATGAGCTTCTAGATGTGGGGCACCTCAATATGGTTCATGAAATGATTGTTGTTTGTGAAGCCCTCCCTGACCACACTGATCTCATTAGATGCAAAAGTGACTCCCGGATCACTTATTACGTCAGTGGCTATGTGGCCTGGAAGATGGTGAAAAAGGCAAAGTGCAAAGAATGTAGCAGGTTGTTGCTTCACTCTGAGAATTCCTGCTTGCTTCCAGCAGAATCATGCCTTCTGTACCCGTATGAGTCCTTAACAGACTGGTCAAAGCTATGGAAGATGCATTCACATGTTGCTTCAGGTTTAAATAGTTGAAAAGTGACAGCATAACAGATCTTATCTCTTGCCTGTCTGTGGAGAGGTTAAAAATGGTCGGCGCTGAACACCACAAACCTGAAGTGACAAATCAGATAATTAGATCATTTACAATGACCAGAATGCATTTTCTCATTGCTGGAGAAAATGCATCCAATAAAAAAAGTGAAAAAATGAAGTTCTTGAAGTTGAGACGTATCACCTAACTGTCATAGTGTTAACTGAGAGAACAAGGTTTTATTTTATGGTATTGTGCATCACTCACACTGTGTTGTTTCTTGTGATTTTAATATTGTCTTGTTCACATTGTTACAAGTCTCCCATTAACAACTGTGATGTCACTGTCTGGCTGTGTTTCACATATGCAAAAATTAATTTTTTCCTGAACTGGTTTGTGACTGTATCAATGTTTGCCAATAAATCTCAATGTCATGTGTGTATATATTTCCATTGCATCATCGTATATTTACTGTTCTTTTTAGTTGCCTTATACTTGCTTTAGCTGAGTTTCGTATAATTTGCAGTTCTCTCCAACCTTAATGCATATGTTGTGTTTATTTTTCATGTTTTTCGATTTTCGTGAAAATAAATGTCTTGTAAAATTGGACCTTGATTGCACAAGTCATAAAAATAACGGTTGCCGATACCTTTACAGTGCATTGAAACTTCACGAAGAACACCAGCGGCATTAAAGTGAAAACTGCACGGACTTTGTTTTGGTGTCAAGCTCACGACAAGTCACTTGATTCTCTATCTTCCAAGCTTCGTAGCTCATATACTACGAAGCGAATTGAAAACACTACTTTTCAGTGCCAATACACGCTTTACAGTGCGCCGCCAGAATTGTGAAGGGTATACTTGGTTATAATCTGCAGAATAACGTAAAATATTTGCAACAAAATAGGACTGATACGCGCGCGTGGGCGCGAGGAGGGGCATCTTGAAAGCGAATGCAGCGCTGCCGCATCCGGATGAATTCTCGCTCGCTCTCCGGCGCGCCGGTGCTGACACCTTCGCTTCTGGCCACCATAGTAGGGCAGCGCATTTGCGGCTCACGTTCCAGCCATAATTTTTTTAGGAGGCGTTGGTTATGCCCTGCCTGTAGGCTGTGGTTCCAGTGGTTTTGGCGGTGTCCTTTACCTGCGTGAGATGCCTCTTTGTCTTGCGCAAAGGGTGACATTCAAAACCTTTGCAGTCGTGAAGCCCGCTGCCGCTTGGTTCAGCGACTTGCGAGGTTAGTAGGTGGCGAACCTGTTTGTGTGCCTACTAAGAAACGTTTCTATTCCGCATCTCTCATGCCCGCGTATCCCTCAAGACCACAGCTTGAACACGTACAAGAAGCTATGGAGGAATACACGACCGTAGAAGAAATGGACTCTCATGCTCTCGTCTTGCCAGTTGTGGAATTGTTGAATTCCCAGAGATATAGCGAAGCACTATCATTTATCCGGGAGGCCCCCTCTGCCACCATCTTTGCTTACGGATGGGATCTTGTTTTGCCTGTTCTAACTGCTATGCAGAAGGAAGTGGACTTAAAATTAAATGAGAATGCATCACTTTGCAAAGATCTGCTTGAAGTTGTAACATCATGTGCCAAGCCGAAGGAAGTTCTCATCTCTTTGCTAGAACACTTGCACCTGATTAAGTCCAGTGTCGTATTCCGTGCTGTTATTCAGTGCATTCAGAAATTGCTGCCGAATATTTCGGGGAACAGGCTGGCATTCTTGGATTTTGTTTTAGAATCTCTGCACAACCATTTGAAATCGTTGTGTGCTGCCGTCGCTAAAAGTGGCGGGGATCAAGCGGACGATGATAGCAGCACGGAATCCCAGGAGAGCCGAAATCTCGGTGATTGCTTGAATGCCGTAGCAAAATTCTTATCTGACATCACACTTGATCATCACATTCAGGAGGAATCTGGAATTGGCGAATGCACTATGGCAGTAAACGACCTGATTTTGCGGTATTTGTTGTTGTTTCTTGGCGACACTGCTGTATTGGATCTCCGAATTCGTTCTAACGTGTCGCATTCTAATGTCGCTCGGCTTTCAGCACTAAGACTTTTAAGCCATATCAGCAAACGGTCGACAGACTTGATAGTACTTAGCTTCTCAGGAATTGCTACGCAAAACAAGGGAAAAGCAAGTCACACAGAAGACACCGAGAAAGACCTTCCTGAACTTGTACCGCCAATTTGTCGTGCTGTGTTAGCCTGGTTGATATTTGTAGAAAATCTTGAGCAAGATAGCATTCCGTGTGTTTATACAAATCGCTATATATTTGAGCACAGCCTGCAAAGCATGTTAGTGCTGTTGTTGCACAATTCAGGCCATGTTGTCTCAAAGGGAGTTGCACTGTGTGCTAATTTAGTATCGCGCCTCAGCCTGGGAGAATTTTGTTACATGGATTTGGACAACACCAACTTAATTGCCCTTGTGCGCTGCTTAGGTAAGGTAATGATCTACTGCCAATCGAGTGCCGCTAGGACAACTGCTTTGAGCACTTTGGTTAACTACATCAAGTGCTTCAAGCATGAGGCTAGGTACATCCTCTACTGCCGAATGCTACAAGTGGAAAAGCATGCTGGATTTCGTGGTCTGCTGATTGACTGTTATCGCCAAGATATGCACGCTGCTTTGAAAGCAAGCATTCATATGGACACTTTCTGGGGAACAAACTTTCTAGAATTTCTTAAAATTCTGTCAAGCTTCTCCTCACAGGACCAGATGAACATTCTTGATGATAGTGACTGTGTACTGGCAGTGCTTAACCTAATACGATACTTTGCTTTGGTGTTGCCATATCACAGTCAAGAATGTAGCGAGGAGAACCAGTCCATATGTGAAATAGCAAGGAAGTATGTGGAGAAAGTGAAAGAATCTGTAGATCTGTCGAGAGCTCACTATAAAGTTGAATTAGAACATAACAAAGAAAAGGTGAGATGTTTCAAAGTACAATCTAAAGATAGTTTGTTCCCTAGCTTACCTCCTGAACAAGAGGCTGAAGTTCTTGAAACTGCACTGACTAGACTAGACCTTGTAGAAAGTGTAATAGTTTTTGCCCTTGACAGTGTTAGTCACTGTTCTGGAAAATTAATCCAGTAAGTCTCTTTGTGAAACCGTGGTTTTTTAGTGTGACTAGAGTAAGGTTTCTGTTTTGTTTTTCTATTCATCAGATATTGTTTAATGCTTATGTGGCAAAAATATTTTTGTAAAAAACAGATGAAAATGAAAAATCTTTCTGCACTGCATTGTTTTGCATTTCTTTCTATTGGCAGCTGGCAACTTTCAATACAGTACAAAAAATACTGTAGATGAGAAAACACAACCTACCATCAGTGAACCAATTTCTGGGCCAACTGGTGATATCAAAAGTGCCATTCTTAAGTCTGCACTTGACTTTATTCCTCAGCATGGCTGGACATGGAAGTCTATAGCAGCTGGTAAGGCTCACAAGTCTTCAAATCCTACATTTCCTGTCATTTTTCATTGCTCAGGAAGTAACATTTCACATAACACCTTCTAATCTAAGGTGCCAGCTCCTTGGGATACTCCAGTGTTGCACATGGCCTTTTTCCCGGTGGGAGCATTGATCTCATTACTTATTTCTACTTGTCATCAAATGATGAACTGGAGCGCCAACTTGAAAGCAGCCTACACAAAACTGAGCGGAGGTCAGTTTTCATGAATAAATCTGCCTTATGCTGTATATTTGGTTGATTCTGCTCTAACCGTTATTTCTGCTTGCTCAGAGGTGTTGCCAAGGGAAAGTCGGCCTTCATCCAAGATGCTGTATGGAGGAGAATTTTGCTCATTGAGCCATACAAAACCAAATGGATCCAGGTGCATACTGTTACTTGTGATTAGTTCATTGGAGTAATAGTGAAAATATTTTTTCACCTTTGAACAGGCTATTGGAATCATGGCTTTGCCTCAAAATGTCCCAGTTGCACTGTCCAACATGGGAGACCTGCTGAATATCATTTGGTACTATGCGGGTGACGTGTCAACTGACGTAAGGGCTCCAACATATCCCAGATACACCAGCATACACCAACCCCTTGCAGTGCATGAGCTCCCACTTGCAGATGAATGAAGGTCAATTGGAACCTTTGAAAAATTATGATGCTTTTCCATTGGTTGCAGATGAGTTGGTACTCGAAAAGAGCTGCTTTAGCTGCACTCTACCAGAGCTCCGAACTTGTGTTTCTGCAAGATAAGTCAATGGATTATGCTCAGACACAAGAATTTCTTGACAGACGCATCAAGGAGTTTGCAGCTGTTAGCGACTGTGTGGAGCAGGTGTGTGTAATTTTGAATCGCCTTTAGCTTGTTTAGGAAAAAAACTCAATTAAACATGGATTTTTATCTGTGTCTATATGGAAAGGCTGTAAGAAGAGTGGAGCAAGGAGAACAAAGAAAAATGACAGTATATTCTTGTAGACTTGTGTAAGGAACTGAATTCTTGACAGAGTGTTAAGTTACATGTACAAGGTACAGTCAAGTATGTAAGTAACCCAAACTTTTTAAAGCAGTGTTTAGAGCTAATTATTTTCACTGGGAGTGTGGGAATGTGCACCCGTGTAAAGATTTATAAAACTGATATTGAGTTTCCCGCTACTTGAACCTTATGCAAAAGGTAAAAAGTATGGCAGAGAAGTTGGGAATTAAATAAGTGAAGCCCATTTCAAGAGCCCAGAAAGAACTTAATGCATGCTGCTCAATCACTGCGCATATTTTGCACACAATAAATCTATTCTTGCAGGAAGCGTAGCTCAGTAATTTTTCATAACCCACCTCCCCCATATGTTCGGTATACCATTGCAGAATGTAAACCTTATTCTTGGCCATGTGATACAGCGTCCCAAACCTCATTTCATTCAGCGGTCCATTAGAGTGACCTTGTTTACAACTTCCAAGGTTATACCTATGAGACTAACGAGATTTACACGTTCCTTATATTCTTACTTGCCGCTTTTGCTTGTTTAATTGGTGCCTTTAAAGCGACACTAAAGTCAAATAACAATTTACATCTGAGTGAGAGCTCTATGTATGACGACATTTAAAACCACAACAATGTCAATAGCAGTGGCTTACTGAGAAATTAACGTAAATGCGCAAGAATACATGTGCCGTAGTTGGACATTCTCAAAATGATCCCGATGATGTCAGACTAACCACTTACAATTAATCACGAGTAATCGAACTAGCTGCACTAAATAAACAACCTTCCGTGCATCAAGAGACGTAATAAAATGCTGCTTGTTTGTTTCTGTATGCTTTATGGAAAAAAAAACGCCAGGCTTGCATGGGAGGCGCAGCACAGTTACAGCAAAAGCTACAAGAGCGGCCTTTCAGAGCCTTTTCTAAACACTCGTTGGGTAACTGCTGCAAGCAAACTTGCTTGATGCCCACTACAGCATTATAATAAAAATTTTAGGGTAGTAGGCCGGCATTTGCTATGCTATTTTTCGTCAATCTTCTGAGAAGTGTGGTATGCGCTAAACTATTGCTAGGAATATTCTGCCAATTATTCCTGCAATGGCTGACGACGATGAAGAATAGTGCCTGAAATGTTCAGTTAATAGCTGAACAAAAACAAGCTTTTGTATTGGGTTCGAGCATTGGACGACCCACTCGTTATGCTATTCGCGCCGTGCAACGATTGCTTGTTTTTTCGCTGTTCTAAAACGCTTTATAAATCGTATTAATGCGATTGCCTTCCCGACATCAAGCCTGTCTAAAGCAAGTATGCTAACAAGTCCCAAGTGTGGCTCAGTGGTAGAATACTGGGCTGGCACTCAGGGAACCCGGGTTCGAGCTCCACTGTGTCATTGGTACGAGGTTTTATTTCTAATTTCGCACAGTGTGGTTACTGACACTGGCAGCGACGGACAACTACGGCGCTGCGTGAGACCCAAGTTGTGATCTCATAACAGCTTTCGCTGTAAAAGAACTGCCCGACGTTACTATGGGGAATGGCGCAAGTGGTTCAAAAGTTCAATTTTCGCATTGTTAAACTGGACTGGTCATGCCATCTAGCAGGGCCCAGTTGAACCAATAACGTCTGCCATCTCTGATCGAGTGGCAGTAAATTGCTCAATTGCATTATTTCTGCTGTGGCTCCCACTGTTTTCGTTCTGCTGCCACTAGTGTCAGCGGCGGCACAGTAAAGCCGGGCAACGTTGTGCACAACAACAGTGACGTGAGATGTTCCGTTTGGCCGGGTAATTTGAAGTGCGCTAACCTGATGCAGACAACTAAAGTGGGATTTTATTTCATAATAAGCACTTCCTTGGCACAAAAGTTACACTACGAGGTTTCTGGACCACTATTTCAACAATCATTATCGACTTAATAGTTGCCTTTAGTGTCCCTTTAACATAAGCACCTTCTGCAGTCGTTTTATTTATTATAAAGGGCTGTGGCGACTGCATTTTCGATGGATGCAAAAATGTCTGAGGCCCATGTAATTATTTTTCGGTGCAAGTTAAAGAACCCCAGGTGGTCGAAATTCCCGAAGTCCTCCACTACGGCGTCTCTTATAATTATATCGTAGTTTTGAGATGTTCAACCTCAGATATTATTATTATATTATTTCCAGTATGAGGACTTCCTTGTAGATATCAGAGCACCTGCTGTTTAATTTTGGTTTAACAAATTATGCGAGCTCTGTAGTTTTGGTACTACTTCCATCTAACTGAAATTTATTATCAATTTGTGCATAGGAAATCAGTGAAGTGCATTTTATATACTTGTTAATAACTTTCAAGCTTACTGTTACTACTATAAAGTGTCATTATAAAAGGTCCTTGAATGTTGACTGACTCATAAACAGGTCCTTAAAATTTCTTTACCAACTTAGCAACACTCATCAATTTTTGGTGCTACATGCCCAAGTGAAAGTTTATTTTCTGCAGCATGAGGTATCTAACCTGTATGAAGAGACTGATGTGCTAATCTTAAGCTGTATACAGACAATTTGGTATATGTGAACTTGTGAACTTCATAGTTTATTATTTTTAACTTTGTTTTTAAGCTACATGCAGATCATTTACAAATGAGGCATCTAGAAACTTTAGTTGGCTTTTGTAGCCATTTTCGCATCTATCTTAGAATTTGTGTTTTCTTAGTTTATCTGTGATCTCTGTCACTATCAAATAAGCTATCATGTTACTTTGCATGCTGTCATGCTCATTTACAGATTGTCCATTTGATTGAGCATTTCCTTTTGAAATGAATCACGTAATTTAAAGAACAGAAAATGGCTTTGATCACAGCTTTTCTTGTTTTTTTTTCTTTTGTTTCACATTTATCCACATTTTTCTTGGTACTTTATCTTTGTTCAGGTCATTGGTAACAGCTGTTCTGTCACCTGCATGTCAAATTAAATGAGACATTTTACATTAGTTGAACTTTTATCAATAATAGGTTAATCAAGTCAGTGGAACTGCAAAGGATGTAGTTGAATTGGGATTTGCTACGGTAAGTTTCATCGTTCAATATAAACTGTCTAACCCCTACATAAGAGACAAATGGGTACAAGACACCAGTGCACCTACAGTAAAATACGGGTTAATAAGAAAATGTATATGAGGTACCCTGCTTATAAGGCACATCTCATATAAAAGACAAGAATTGCTGCCTTAGGGCATGCCTCTATAAATGGTTTAACTGTATATCATTAACATCTTGTAGGAACTGTCAGCCAGGTTTCAGTGATTATGGAAGTGCCTTTTAATTTATAGCCAAATATTTAGTGCCAGTTATCAAGCAAGAATGCAAAGTTAAAAGACTTTTACATGACTGGTTGTCTTGAAATAAACCCATTACTGCTCGAACAGGACAGAGGCACATCGTTGTTTGCAGGTTATGTATATGTCCGCCCCAGATAAGCAATCACATGTGCTAACATTGCCTGCTAGACTAAGAAGAAGCACTGGCTTTGAAAGAGTAGAGTGATTTCAAGAGGTTAATGAGGAAGTAAATTTTAGGAACTAAGAAAAAAAGCAAACTGTGATGGCAGGTTATATCCCATCATATTAGGAGCATAATTCGAAAATGTTGATATTGACAACTAGAAGATTTTATGCTTACATTTACCGTACTTGTGGATTGAGACAGGACAACTTAGGGCTAAGTAATGCTCATACTTTAGTTTCCACCATCTTCGGTTCGGGTCATGTTGATGTAATTTCAACTCTAACGCATAGATCAGAGCCAACATTTATCTTTTGAGACCAGATTCATCGTGAAATGGCATTTTTATTTCTAGCAATAGTGCATACCAGTATTTATACTAAAATCCTTGATGTTGCATTGAATCCGTGAGTATTGTACTTGGGAAACGAGACAAAAAGTAATTTATTTTAATAAGCTTACGTGCAGAACCTGATAGTAACACTGTGGAACTAACTTCAGTGCACTCAGTGTGCCCTATCATCCTTGTGGAATAATAGGAACCTATCTTCTGTATATGATCAAAATAAAATTAAGGAAAAATTTCACGAGTACAGATGAGCGTTGGCACTTGCTCTAACATTGTGTTTTGTGTGGCTGTGTGCTATATTTTGTTGACATGGATCTATGTGAGCTAAGAGTTGCATTGGTGAGCTGAAGCGTATTTTGTAAAAAAAAAAAAAAAAAAAAAGGCAATGCTTGTACCAGTATTGTACCAGTATTACAGAATAAGAGATACCAATTTTATATTCTCGTTGCTTATCTTGTTTTAGCCTTGTTGGCTTGGTTTATCAGTTTGTACAGAAATAACATTATTTGCTTGTGTAGCATACTTGACGCACATCTCATTTCTGGTGTATAAATTCATGGGTGTTTCAATGTAATAAACTGACTTGCAAGTTGGCATTTTTTCTGACCCCCCCCCCCCCCCCCTTTTTTTTTTCCCAGTTCAGTTTGCATTGTACCAGTATGGCATTTCTTCTCATATCTAGTTATACACTCCCTCAAGATAGCTTTGTTATCCAGTGCATTAGACTATTTATTTTTATTTTTTTTATTTCATTCAAGTGCAAAAAAATTTACTCTTCGGAAAGAGAGGACTGAAGGCATTCACGTCTGACGAGGTCCTCCCATCGGAAACAACAACAGTTTTGCGCATAAGCGATGACAACAAAAACGAAAGCAACTGAAAAACTTGCATTAATAAGTAGTATTTCAGTGTACTACGTTGATTACATATAGAAATATAAAGTAAGTACAAGTAAATATATAACAACATTTTATAAGTAAATATATAATGAAACATACCATTGTTGACACTGAAAACATTAAGCACAAATAGCAGGCAATATGCACTAAATTAAACATTAAAAAAAACTGAAAAAAGTAGTTGAACTATTTGGCATTTCATTATTTTTTCTGATTTGTGATTTCATCTTATTTCTTCTATACCTTTGTTGTTGTTCAAGGGTGTTGTGATCTGGTAGTGCAACGTTTGCGAACCGTAGGTTTGTTCATATCCTGTTATTCTTGTAGCTAACATGTCGGAATGTATATGGCTGAAGTTTTTGAGGGTCATGTAAAGTTAGTGAAAAGGTAGTGTCATTCTTAATTAAGCAATGTGTCTCAAGAGCCAACTGCAAGGTTTTCAAGTCGTGTATGTTTAGTATACCCAGTTTGCTCTAGTGTTTGTGTTTGTTCTGTTTCGATAATTCATATTACTGATGGCACAAATTGCTTTTTTTTAACAAATAGAGATTGCAAACGAGATAGCGTAATGCTGCCCCTAAACCAATAGACAGTAATGAAGGTATGATTGCACAAGAGCTTGGTACAATTGTTTTCTAAACCATAATGGCAAGAAATTTTTCATTTTGTAGATTATACCAACAGAACTGGAAACTTTAGAACACACAATTAACATGATCTGTCCAAGTTAGCCTATCAATAAAAATTACGCCTAAAATTCGTATGGAGTCCACGCGTGGTATAACACTATTGTAAAAAGTAATTATTAGAGACCGGATTATAGGCAAATGCTTATTCTGTTCCTTGCGTTCCTATCGTGCCATTTTGATATATGAGCATGAGTTAGAGGTTAAGAAGGGCTTTTATGGTGTTTTTATAGTGCCTATAAATGCCTACTTTTGGTGTTCATGCCTAAATTGCTATAAGTGCCTATAAAGGCCTATTTTCCAAATCAGCGCCTATATGAGTGCTATATGAGCCCAAATTTTGTTTTCGAGCGTGATTTGAGACCGTTATTTATCTAAAAAAGGCAACATTGCTATTTAAAACACTATGGAGTACAACAGAGTCCTCTATTGCTAACAACCGCAAAAAAAAAAAAAACGCTAACTGCAGTGAAACGGCACTTGCTGGCCACCTTACGCCACAGAGCTGACATGCTTCGAGTGATTAGAGAAGGAGCATGAGGAGGGTAAAAGACGCCATTTCTTCAGCCCTAAGCGGAAGCATATCTCGGCGTCTGCAGGGGAATGAGGAGAGAGAATGGAAGATGGGATAAGAAATAAGAGTGGCGTCTATAGGTGAGGACGCGGCGAGCGTCTTTTACAGACAGCTGTCCAGTGTCCCGAAGGAACTGATGAACCGCCCTAAAAACCTAGCTGTTGCGGTGGGAAAGAAACAGCAGGTTTTCCTGTGCAGCCGCGGGTAGGTGGAGAACGAATGAGAAACCATGGAGGGCCAGACATTGAACGCTCACGCTGATTCAGGAGTGGTGAAGGCCGCCAAATCATTATACTATATACAGCGAAGCCTGAGACAGGTGCCAACATGTTTAATATCAACGGTGTATTAAGCATACATTCACCTTATGCTTGCATATGCTTGTGCCGTATGAGATTCTTTGGTATATGTTTGTAAGTGAAAAACATGAAGAAATACAGAACAGGGCTGCAAGGCTTGCCCTAAGCCATTACTTAAAAAATGACAGCTGTACCAATAGGAAAAATGAACTAGTATGCGAATGTATCATTGCGTCAAATTAAACTATGCATAAAGCTCCTATGTCAAGGATTTAATGGTAAAATTCACATTCGAAAATGAATGTACCTAAACAGTCATTTTTGCGCAACTGTAATTGTTTTAAGATTTTAGAATGTTGTATCAGATCTAATATTTATATTATTTCATTTTTGTTGTATTCATAACTGAATGAAATGGCTTATAAGGAGAACAAGTGTGCTGTATCAATGAAGACATGTTTTCATTGACATTGTAACCCATCTGCCGCAGCGCCTTCGGGTAAACAATGTGATGGGCACGTGGCTTTTGTTTTGTTTGTAATTTACTTTTTTAAGCACCCCTCTTTAGGTCACATAAGAAGTTTAGACTCTAGAGGTTCTTGCGTGCCCAATGAAAAGGGTTCTACCTCGGTGTTTTTTTTTTTTTTTTTTTTTTCAAATTGGTTCGCTACGAGCCACAAAACCATGATGCAAAGAGGCAAGCTTGAATCTCTTGCCTCTCGCCCCACATAGCCATCTCAAGCCTAGTTCCTTCCCTGCTCTCTTCGGTATCGGGGCTGGAGGATCACATGATGCATACGCACCAAGATCATGCTTAAGCAAGGTCACGCGTGACGTGCCCTAGCTTACGGTACGTGTGCATCTACACCATCGATGTTGTGTCGTTTTGGCATTCTCTGTTGTGTAATACCCGCTTCTGTGGGATGGATCAGTCCGTGCGCATACTTTAGGAGAGGTTGGCATGGATCCTGTATTATGACCGCGATACAGGATGTTGCTTTGCTGATATTGCGGTCAGAGACGACTCACCAAACACAAGCTAAGCGTTGTCAGGGTTGGCAAAGGCACGATGCAGGAATGACGAGAAGACGAACGCGAGCGAAATAGGGGAGTAGTAGTCATAGTATATAGTAGTTGTAAGTAGTAGTGATAGCATATGCAGTTTTACATCAAAAAACCATATGATTATGAGGGATGCCGTAGTGGAGGTCTCTGGAAATTTTGGCAGTCTGGTGCCCCTTAACCTGCACTGCACATCGCGCAGTACGCGGTCATTTACCTTTTAGCCTCCATCTAGATGCGACCGCCGCGGCCGGAATCGAATTTGCGGCATTCGGGTCAGCAGCAAAGCACCCTAGCTACTAGTTCACCGAGGGGGACACGAAAAGAGGGCCGATTAGTGTGTAGCATCTCGCTGCCATTGAAAACAAACATAAAAATAATAACAAGCTGACATTACGTTGGCGTGCTTCATTTTTCCGAGCTTTTATTTGTTACACTCATTTTGAAAGGGCAGCGCAAAGACACAGGAAAAAGAAAGAAACAGAGACAAAGAGCGCTGTCTTTCTTTCCCTATTTGTCTTTGCGCTTCCCTTTCAAAATGATATGAAGCAGCTAGCCCAAACCAAAGTACTCCTCAATCATGCTAAACAACAGAACACACAAAGTACACGTGCCAATTAGAATAATGTCACATGCATTTCTCTTAATGAGGTACTATTTTAAATTCAGGATACAATCATGAGACGGGACATTTTTCATCTGTTCTTCTAGATATAGCTAGCATTTAACCATGTTCTGATGAAGAGTGTATAGTAAGTGACGTCAGAGCACCAATGTCAACGTAAAGAAGCGATGTAAAAGCAGGGCCACTCCTTGATGTACGTCACTTCATCTATCTTGGGCTACACGCCCGCGAAAAGGGCAAGTGGCATTCCGTAGAAATTTAGTTTTTCTGGGACATGTAGTGTTGCGAAATCTTCACAGGCGTGATCCTGGGTGCCCAGTGCATGCATTACGCTTATCAGCTCGAAATGCCGAAGCCCAGTGAGGGGCCCTCTTAGGTGTTCACCGCCAGGGGAGAAATTGATTCTACGCGATTAGACCTGGCATCCCTCCTTTCTGGTGTATCAGTGGTCTGGTTATTTGCTCCTGCGCTGCCCTTTCCAGCCACGACAAAACGAAAGAGGCCCAGAATATTGTTTATTGGACGGTGGATGCTAGGCAATAAAATGAAAGACCGTGATCTGGGAATAGCGCGGCAAAATGCATGCCTATGTTCAACCGTTGGTGCCTTTGTGCTGTCTTAAACTATAATTTTTTTGCTTCTTGTCGTAGATACAAGTTACCGACATCATTGTTTTAAATTATTTCAGTTTTTGTAGAAATTATTCGTGCCTATTTTTATGATTTTGAAGGCCTAAAACTGTGTTTTACGTGCCTGTCTTTGGTGCCTAACACACTACTTTTTTAGTACCTAAAAATCTGGCCTCTAGTAATCTTGTTTTTTGGCCTGATAATATGAACTTTCGTCTTGTTTACATTGAGGTCTATTTTATTTGCTGTCAGCCACTTTAGACAATCCAGCCAGCCATGTGTTTGCTAGGCTCACTGCTGAATCTATATTACACCCAGGAAATAAAATATTTGTGTCATTTGCATACATAACCATTTAAAGAGTGCAAGGAATGTTGACTTATATTATTAATATGCAAAATAAAGAGCAGCGGCCCCAAAATTTAGCCCTGCGGTACGCCCGTACATATATCTATGTACCTGGATGAAACACTATTCACAGTAGTGCATTGTACTCTTGATGATAGGTAGCTCTTGATCAAATCTAAAGGGGTGCCTCTTGTTCCATAGTTTGGCAGTTTAGGCAAAGAGAACTTTATGATTAACTGAATGAAATGCATTTTTTAGGTTCAGGAACAGTCCCACTGTGAAACGTTAATTTTTTGTTGTTTATTATTTCATATTTCACATGCAGCGAGACCCGTTCTGTTAATTTTCCTTCTGAAATCTATACTGCTGGTTTTATATTGCATTTATTTTCTCAAAAAAGCTAGCTAAGCATGTGTTGATAACATTTTCAGCAACTTTGCTGAAGACTGATGACTTTTCGGAAACAGAGATTGAAAGATAATTCAAAAATGACTTTTGATCACCTCCTTTGTGTATAACAGAGACTTATGCTATTTTCAGCTTATCAGGGAAGATTCCCATGGTTAGCATTTAGTTGCAAATATGTGAAAGTGCCATAGCTACTATATCTGTGATGTATTTCAGTGCCTGCAATTTAATACCATCAATTCCAGCCATGGTATGCACATACTAGGGGCAAAGCCATTCAGCTTAATGCATTGTCTGTCTCCACTCTACTTGAGGTGATGAAACATATAGAACAATCACAATGCCAGATTTCCAAGTTTCAACATATTTTGCTACATCTACCTTGCTTGAGTCATTCATTAAACTTCAGGAGCACATTCCTCCTAAAAGTTGTGTACAAATTTTCTTAGCACTATTCTGAAGTATCATGGTCTGCTCGTGAAAACTGATTTATTTAATGAAAGCGTGACCTTTCTAAGAATGATATGAAGACTGCAAATGCCGGTCCCTTTTTGACTGTTCTCAAATGGCAATAATCATATGATTGGAAGTTTTTTGTCACTCTTGTCTTCTGACTCAAACAAACTTGACTTCTTCTAAATCCAGGCAGAGCGACAGAAATCTAATGTGCCTAGCTTCCTGTAGCTTGAAGGTCAACTGGAACATCAGGCATGATTTCTGGGAGGACATTGGTGTGCTTCACATGTGTCCCAGGTCAGCTTACTGGAACAAAACATGAGGAAATTGTCAGTGCAGTAGCAAACGTCAAGAAGACAAATGTATATGACTGCAGATTCAAACTTTTGGACATCTGCTACAAGAATGACTTCAACATGGAATAGGGCCACCAGAGAACCTACATGTGTGTCACTTTCTCGGACATAGCTGTTGCCACCATGCAAGGCAGCAGCAAATAAGCCAGAGCTGCGAGGTGTAAAGTACTCGCTTGACTCAACAGCATTAATGGCATTTTTAATGATTTGTAGGTTAGCAGGGTAATAGAGCTTCTGTATCACTAAATGTAGTATAATTTCACCAGCTGTAGCATCTTTTAGAGGATTTGGAATTATTCACTACAAAAAATGAAGTATATAAGCATAAATTCTAGCGAGCTGCTTTTTATGAAACCCAGCATGTTACTAACCTATCATAATGGTTGTTTTCCATTGATCTACTCTATAATCAATTTATGATAAGGAAATAGAGGTGGGTATGAGACTGTGTTATTTTCTTATCGTAAAACTGAAATGGCAGTTGCCATTGTACAATGGTTATTATGCCTGGCTGCTGACCTGTGGGTTTGGAATCGGAATTTTATTGTTCACAATTTTTCCATAAAGCTTGCACACACTGTGTGGACCCTTGGCTAGTTTGGGATCAAAAAGATGCATTTTATAAGGGCACTTTGAAAAAGCATAACTAAAGAAGTTATATGATATCAATAAGAATATGCAAAAAAGCAGAACAGTACATTAAATAACCACACAAATAGCAAAAAATTAATAAAGAAAAAATAATAATATCAACCTTTACTTACATACTAAATTTAGGACAGCCATCGTACTACACATGAATGGTCAATAATAAGTCCGAACATTCCTCTAAATAGTGTTTTTCTAGTGTCTCAGTGAAATTTGAACACGCTTTTATTTCAAAAGGTCTAGCCTTCCAGATCTTAATACCAGCAAACTGTAAAATTCGTTCACCATATATGTTGTTAGTTTGTGGAATATTCCATTTACCAAAGGTTAATTGTCTGGTAGAACGGGAAGGAGCGGAGAACATTGACACATTGAAAGGGTGGTTGTAATTAATAACCGTGTATACATATTTGGCTAATTTTAATTTCTATAGCATATCGAAAGGCAAAATGAGTAATCGGGAAAACAGATCTCTGTAGGTCATTATACTTGGAATGATCTTTACCGCGACATTTATGATTTTAGTGGAGATGGAAATGCTAGAGACTTGTGTATTTAGACTTGGGTGTGCACCTAAGAACCCGTGCCGATTGAAATTTCCGGAACCTTCCATTGAGTCATGTCATGGACTCATGATGAAATCTTGTTTTTTTGAGTAATATAGATAAACTTATTTCTATCTCAAGAAAGTACAGAGACGTGATAGCTGCAGAAAAAGCTGTCATATATGGCTTGACTGAACCACAGTCCTTATATACAAGAGGCGACAATGAAAGGCAGCTCAAATCAAGACTGTCGCATGCATACGACTTCATGTTAAAAAATTAGCAGTTCCGTGTACAAATAAAACCGATGAGCGAAGCTCCTTAGGAAGGGTACACGAAACGACTACCGTAATGTCCGAGCAAGCCCCCCCCCCCCCCCCCTCCTCTCTTTCTCCTATGCGGCCACTTTTTTTTTTTTTCATGATGAACATTGCTTATGTAAAAAGAACTGCAAGAATGAGTACACTAAATGTATATGCAACAAAATTCTTTATAAAATTTCGTTGTAATGTAAGTAAAGTATTTCATTAGAAACATGGATGTGCATTTTTTGTTTTTAGCGGCACTCCCTCCGCCATCTTGAATTTCGGTCTTAGACCAAGTAAGTGCCCCCCTCGAAATGTGGTTAAAATTTCTTCACCATAGAGGGGGTGCACTTGCTCAGCATTTTACGGCATGCGCCTGATCTCACTGATGGCTTTCATGGAAATGGTAGGATGGGGCAACGTTTTTAGAACCAGTACAGTTTCGCAGCTCTGCTCGCGAGCCAGCACACACTGTTGACGCATGAACTTATGGCGCTGCTGTTCCATTTTGCTTCTGTTGCTGTGTCCCGCGGGATTGGGTACAGGCAGCGCACCGTTGCTCTCAATTTTTGCGCTTTGCCGAAGCTAATTGCAGAGGCGACACACATGCTGCAGGGAGCTGAGACATGCAAGAACTAACTGCTTGAAATGCGTTTTGCGTCTTTTCATGCTTGCTTTCTCCATACCTTGTGCATGATTTGCAGCTTCGATGGTGACGGCAGGGTGCAGGCCTAAGGAGCTTCGCTCCTAAAAAAAAAACAAACAGAATACTGCATAGTTAGACAGGTAATGTGCAAACAGAGTGCTATCTACACTTTGTACCTACAGTATAAATTGCTTCAAAATAATAATCATAATAACCCCAGCAATAATTGTTGTACTTGTGATAGACAGTTCAACAGTACAGAAAAAAAGCACTCAGTGTGTGCCATTAAAACGTTAAGTGCAATTTTGTCACTATATAGCTCAGCCTTCAATTTTTTCTCAACAGCCTTTGTCCTTCTGTAATCTTTACAATAGGCTGTGCACATGCAGCTGCTTTCATGTTTTAAAAAGATTTGGTTACCTAAAATATAATAAATTCTTTACGCTGACGATACAACTATTTCAATGTCCCATAAATTATTCACAGTTCTGATCACTAAGCTGAAGAGGGGACTGACCGATGTTGTCAAATTATGTCATTTAAATATTGTAATCTTAAACCAACTTGAAACTCAGTTCCATGGTTTGTAAAATTTTTCAAAAAGTGCTTCCTGTCAGACCGAAAATGTCCATTGACCATCATTTGAATTCATTCTTGTATCTGACTGTGTGTGTTTTCTTGGCATATAATTAGAACATTATGTGAAGTTTAGTAACCACATTGTTTTCGTAAAAAAAAAAAAAAACAAGCCTTCGGTATAAGAGCACTCTTTAAGTGTTATCCTTTTTTCTCATTTGATGCCTTATTGTTTTGTTTTTATACTTTGCCTTCATATGAAGTCACATCATCTATGGCATTACTTTTACAGCGAAAGCTGTTATGGGATCACAACATGGGTCACGCACAGCGCCGTAGTTGTCTGCCACCGCCGGTGTCTCTAACCACTAAACACCAAAGACATGTGGTGACATAGTGAGATTTGAACCAGGGTCCACTGCGTGCCAGCCAAGTATTCTACCGCTGAGTCGCGCCGGTGCTTGAGACTCATTTGCAAACTTGCCTTAGGCAGGCTTGATGTCGGCAAAGCAATCGCATTGTAATGAGTAATAAAGCATTTTATAACAGCAAAGGAACAACCAGGCGTCACACAAATGCGAATTGCATAACAGTTGACTCTTCGAATGCTCCAACACATTTCAAAAGCTTGTTCATCACTTATTAACTGTGGCACATACCGCGCTTCAGGCGTAATTGTTCATCTTTGTCAGCCACTGAATGCAACACAAAATTCGGTACAAGTGTTTAGCGGATACCACGCTTCTCCGAAGAATAGCATACTGAATGTGGGCCTACTATGCAGAAATTATGGATATTTATGGTGTAGTAGATACCTTGCATGTGTGCTTTTAGCATTTACCCAAATAGCATTTAGAAAAGGCTCTGAAATGCCGTTCTTCATGCTTCTGTGCTGCGCCTTTCGCGCAGGCCTGGCGTTTTTTGGGGGGAGAAATACAACACTCCTCTTTCATCCACTCAGCACATCCAGAATCAGGCTATTTGCATTATAACCGAAAGTTATTTTTATTCTAATACTATATCTCACTCCTTCAGGGTAACTTCATTCTTACTGTGTCTGGCTTGTTAAATTTTCACTTAATCATAATGTTATTCAAACAACTGAACAAACAGCAGGTGTGCAAATAATTTAGCCCAGATTGCTCTCAAAGTTCAATAGCACTGGGTTTGCCCATAATCACAACTTTTTTTTACCTAAACGTAACACCAACAATGGCTAAATGACATCCTGCTTCGTGGGGAACAAATGATCAAATAACTTATCCTACACACTAAAATGATCATCATCAGTGCATACATTCAAACATGAATGTAAAAATTTCATATTGTATGACTAGATTGTCAACAATAATTTTTTTTTGGTAAAAATGTGTACCTAACTTCAAAATGTTTGTAATTTAGCTTTATATTCTGTGATGTGCATATTTACATCTATAACTAATTCTTATGCACTCGGATAGCATTGAAGGTGTTTTTGTCTTGTTTTTTAGTAACTTCACAATTCACTTATCTTTGTGTAATTTTGACATGCTGTATAGTTTATTATTCTTATGTAATCGTTGACCACGAGTCTCACTCCACTCGCTCGACTTTGGGGCCCTCTCCTGCATGCTGCTAACCACTGAACCTTTGTATTTTGATTGAATAATAAACTGCACTTCTCCAATAACTGTACTCCACAATAACTGCACTCGACCAAGTTTTCACTCCACCAATGATACTTTGAAATAGCACTGTATTAAGAATAAAGTACTAGAATTACAACTACTTAGATGTTTTCTGTGTTGCCATATGCAGTGAATATTGGTGTTTATTCTTTCAATACAATCGTTCAATGTATTATCTTAGGTGGCAGCAGAGCTTTCTATTGAGGAGCATCGCTTCAACTGTAACGTACAGCTCTGAAAATGTGTAAAAAAAACATGCTTGATCCCTTAGTCATAGGAATCGGTAAAACATCAAAGTAATAAAATGTGTTCTTACAGAAGTAGTTTAATGTTTACTGTATATTGATATAAGAGTGCTTGCACAATTTCTATTGATGTTTGTACTGTGTGAAATGCTATCTTTCTTCCTCTTTCCTCTTTCAATCTCCCCCATCTCCGTTCCAAGGTGTAGGGTAGCAAACCGGTTGTCTTGGCCTGGTTAACCTCTCTACTTTTCCTTCCCTAGCATTTCTCATCTGTCTGGACAGCTATAGAACTGCTTAACAGGGATGCATCCAAATTGAGGTTTAGTCATACATCTCCATCACAATTATAACAGCCATCATTAATGATTGAACAAACCATTGTGGTCATAGAAGCTTGTAGTAGCCGTAGTAGTTAATGGTGAGAGCTGAACCTGAGAAAGCAGTGTGACAGACAGAAGTGTGTGATTGAATGGATGCCGAACTGGGACCAATGTCGCCTATTGCGGCATGTTGGTATTATTGAACACCACTGCCCAACCAAAGGGAAACTCAATGCGCGTCGTGTCTTCCTTTTGGCCGGTTGCGATTTTTCGCAGGGTGAGCATGAGTGAAGAATGTGGAGTTACAGCAAGGCGAATCCGGCAGGCGTCGCAGAGCTATTTTCGGTATAAACTGGATGCCGTGAGCCACTGCCAATACTTGGGGTATGGTCGGCACCTGGGGGTGTGTTAAGGCGTTGACAAAATTGCACTTCTATTGGAAATGCGCTGAATGGCACGGACGTTTAAAAACGATGTGCTAAAGGAACTAACTGCGGATGTCACGGTCATGATGCATTACTGCACTTTACCAAGAACGCTGTGAGAGGACAGTGGTAGATATAAAGGGCATTTTTTTTTAAAGACTATAAAGTGTGTGAACGTAGTGCAGTGGGTCGCATGCCCGGCATCTGTTGTTGTGGGTCGAAAGGCCACGCCAGGTCTCGGCACTACCTTTCAAACATACCCTAATGTTCGTGAAACTGTCAATTGTGGTTGCGGTGCTGGCTTTCCAATTTCATAAACATTACTTATGTACTCCTACAATACAGCCATCACGTCAGGTTAGCATCACTTGTAGTTAGGTGTCATCCGCTTAAATTTATGTAGAGTGTCTACAATCATCATGAGCAGCGGCGCTTTATATCAGCTTACTGCTTCTGGTGTTGCAAATATCCATGTTGCTATTGGCATGGTTACGCAACTGCAAACAACTGGTGATATAAAACATATACGGCTGTTTAACGTATGTCTGTGCGTGCACTTTGTACATATCTTTAGTTTAACTTTGTAACGTTTTCACTCAATAAAAAAATTATAACATACTCAACTTGCGTGCGCATGCTTCATATATAACATCGATTCCCAAGGTATGTGGGATCTGTCGAATTTTCTCCTGACTGACACCTTCCTTAGCAAAGTATGCTGGTCTACTGCATCAATTATCAGTTGAACTGTGGAATTCGGGGTTCTTTTGAACATTTTGGTCGCAGAAAAATACAGGCCTACATCACCAATCATCTTAGGCTGGTGCTTTATCAATCTTGCATTGCATGGTTCATGGCAAGCATTACCTGAAAAGTGGGGGATTCATTTGTTGCTCATGTATTCCGTTGAGTATGCTGCTCAAGTGGTGAACCCTAAGACTGATTGGTTTGACAAGTTGTGGAATAAACGTACCTGGTATTGCTTTTTGCACCAGATGATAATCATAAGGTCCCTTGCAGTTTGTGGTTCAAGCACAACTCTGCTGCATAACAGTGAACACCTTTTGCATTGGCAATAAAGGGTAAACCACTGGTGACCATCATTAATCAAGCAGGAGAGCTAGGAAAGTTACTTACCTTAAATGCAGTGGAGAGAGAGCTGAAACTTTATTTTGTGACGTTGCTGGGGTCAAGGGAGATATATCACATAATCAAACACCTCTTTCTCTCCGAAAGGTACATCTGTTGATGTAAAATAGAGGTACACCGACTCATGGCACAATGAAATGTTCTGAGCACTTCAGCCACTCTACGAAGTTCACGTAAAACATCAACTAAGGTTTAATATGAGTTAAAATTAGTGCGGTGGTGTAGTGGAGCCATGTTATTACTTATAAAGCTTTAAACCTTTTTTTCACATGATTAGTTGAACTGCTCGAGTGCTCAGCAGTGTCTAGTGAAATGCGCTGTTACTTCAGCCATGGTGTAGTAGTATGTGGCGTGTGCATGGAGTACATGCACCTGCCACATATTTGAAGCATTTGCAAGCACAATTTTTAAGCCTATTTCTGGTTTTTCACTGTGAACCTTATAGTTGGCTCAGATTCTCGTAAATATGTGGCTGCACTCTTCATTTATTTGTTTTTTGAGAGCCTTTGAAAAACTTTAGCAGACATGCATGAACTTTGAAAAGTTATACACGAAGACTGATTATCTTAGAGTGATGCTCTAGAGGCTTGAAATCATTTCTAAGTGCAATTTTTAGATGACATCAAAGCCCTCACTGAGAGCTGTCTCTTAAATTAAATGAAGACTTTACATATGTTGCAAAGAGTTTCTACTTTAAGTGATCACATGCTCTATCAAAGACTCATTGCAGCCTTACTGCTTAAGAAGCTTCAAGATTTGCAGCATACATAGTCTTTGCACCTGTCATATAGCTTTGGCGTCCTGCTGCTGAGCATGATGTAGATTTGAGTGCTAGCCTATACAGCTTCCACATCTTACTGTGGGGGTAAAATATGAAAAGTACTGCAGTACATAGATTTCGATGTATATTAAAGGAGCCCAGGTGCTTGAAATTGTTAGAGAGCTCTCCATACAAATTCTCTAGTAACCCACGTGCAGCTTTGAAGCTGAACACTTCAAATTAAATTTAAAAACTCTAGTTTTTATTCAAAATATGTAACTAATTTTAGCGTCTTTATGAACCTTGTTATTGTGTCGCTATTGACTTTATACAAATGTTATAGAGTGCTACGAGTGTGATTGTCATTTGCATTGTCAGTGATGGCTTTTTTTCAGTGATTCCTTATAACATTTATTTTTCTCTCTTCCACAGCTAAAGAATGTGCTGGGAATGAACACTCGTTAACAGATCCTATCTAGATGTGTATTTTGGTAAGAAACTGCTGCAAATAAAGATGATCAAGCCTCCTTATGTTCATCATAATTAATTTAGTATTTTCATTTCAAACTGAAAGGTTACAGGCTTCAACTTAAGCCTTGATCACTACCTTTAAGCATGTCATGTCCAAAATGTTACTAGATTTTTTTTTGCATTTTAACATTAGTTTTTGTAGGATATTTTTATTTGACATCAAATGCCAAGAAGTGTCTTATTACTCATGGTTTATGGTGATAGTCTTCTACAAACACCAACGTTCCTCTGAGAATACACTTAGACCACTAATACAGGTAAGAGCGAGTACCCTTTCCACCGACTACAGGACCAGTGTTTTGCAGTCATGTCTTCTTGAGTTTACGCTAGCTTTCTACACCACTCTGTACCATGTGATTCCAATGATGATAAATGTCTCGACCATTGCTTTGCCACTGACTAAGAGAGAAAAAGAACGACCATCAGAAAATACAGTGCTACAGTTGGTGCTAGCCACTTGCGCGCTCAACCGGCGATATTAACTATGGCTGCTGGTAAGATGCACATAGAGAGCGATAGAGAATAAACTTTATTGAAAACTGGTCTGGCAGTTTTTTTAAAATAGCATTTTTGTGGGCATGGGCTGTGGGGGTGCTGACACCCCCCCCCCCCTGTAAAGTTGTCTGCGCCGCGTGGCGCACGTGTCTCGCCCCAAGGCTTTATTGCGGTGGTGACCACCGCCGGGCGATAGATGGCGTTGTGTTCGCTTTCAGTACCACTGTTGGTAGAGTGGTAGCGCCGGCGGTGGCCCCTGGCGGAAGGCAGGCCTTGGCGGTGGGCGAGAGTGGAGCGAGCCTCTTCTGCGCGTGGCGGCTGCCGCGAACGGTTGTCTGTAGCGCGGGTCCCCGGTGCTCGGCACCGCGGGCTTCGCGCCGGGGTCCCGCGTATAAGGTCAGGCGTTGGCGACGCCGCCTTGGGTATGTGCTAGTGTGTTGGGTGTGTTAGTGTGTTTATCATGTTATTGTGTGTTTAGTGCGTCCCTGCGTTATGTTGTTTGTATGGTTTAGTGTTAATTGAAATTGTTGTATCATTCGGCGGACGATATCGTCGTCTAAATTAGTTAATAAATGTATGTATGTGGTGTGTTTTGTACCGACCGCGTCTAGTGTGTCCGTTCACTCCAAGAGCGTGGCGTGGCGAGGCGCGCGTTCGCCTCGCCGAGACCCCACACTGGCTGCCCAACGTGGAGCTCTTGGAGTGTCGGACGACAGTTTTTGCGGTTCGGTACAGGGATTTTGTTAGAGCCGGAGTAGAGTAGGCCTAGGGGGGACTTCTTTGCTAGCGTCGGTGGTGTGCTTTGTTGAGAAGCGAGGAGATTGGTTTTGTAACGTGTTTCAATTTGTCGGCAAGTTGACTTTCTATTTATTTTTTTTGCTCGCAAGTGTTGTTATTTTTTGTTGTTAGTTTTCAAAAACGTTGTTGAATTAGGACGAGAGCCATGCGGTCCGCATCCTGGCGTGAGCAAGGCCTAGAGCACGTGGTTTGTAGGCCAGGCCCGAAGCGAGTGAGTACGGAAGCCTCGTGGGTGGTCCGATTTTCTGTGAATAGCTTCTTCTATCTCTTTGGGCTCAGGGAGCCGGGCGTCGTTGCTGTCTGGTATTGCGGCTCGACGCCGAGGCGTCGTGACACCGCCCGGGGCGGTGGACGCCGATCGCTCGGTAAGCTGCTGTGTGCGGCGAGCGATAGGGCCACCTCACAGAGTGGACGTCTCCTCGCGGCTGCCTCTTCTGCGCCTAGGCTGGGTGCTGGGTGGATGCCGGTTGTTGCCGAGCGACTCATTAGGCCTAAGGCTCTGCGCAGCCGCCTGTCGCACGTGGCACAACTAGGTGGATCGTGGCGTTGAGGTGTCGCGCTCCGCTTTCCTCACTTTTTTTTTCTTGGGAGCACGAGTTAGGAAAAGTGATTTTTGTTTTATTTTGATGGGCGTTTCGGCTGCCACCGATGTATTAGCTAGCAGTACTGACCACCGTACCACGTGGCTGAAAAGCCTGAAGCTCCCTCCCTGGGCCGCGCTCCATTGTTTCTTTCGAGTTTTGTTTTTTGTTGATGTATTCAGCGGGAGGGATGTCATCCACGGCCGGCTGTCCTGCATATCGTCAGCGTCGCTGGCCAGGAATGCGGTCGTGAGGTCGGGCGATGGAGATGCCTGGGACCTGCGCAACTGCCTGCAGTCCGGCGCCCTCGCGAGTGCTGGTCGCAACTGGAAGACGTGTCGGTGCTAGCGACGGATCGTCGCGCCGACGGCAACGTTGCTGTTGCGGGGCCGGTACTGAGGTGAAGCCTAGCCGGACAGTGCAGCAGTGTCGACCAGCGGCGGTGTCGTGGTGCAAGGACATTATGGTCGTGCGATATCATTTTTTTTGTTAAAGCTTGTGTAGCTAATTTTCGATTTTGGGATATGGTTTGATTTAAGGTTGGGGGAATGTGGGGGTGCTGACACCCCCCCCCCCTGTAAAGTTGTCTGCGCCGCGTGGCGCACGTGTCTCGCCCCAAGGCTTTATTGCGGTGGTGACCACCGCCGGGCGATAGATGGCGTTGTGTTCGCTTTCAGTCATTAGAGCAAGACACTAGGTAATGGTTGCATGCAATGTGTGTGTGGGGTGTGTGATGTGTGTGCTGTGATGTGCCGCTCAGGTGAATGTCAGCAAGTTCTGCCACCCGCGGGTGCGGGGATTGTCTCGTCGGGCCTCAGCGACCAACGGGATACCATCAATGTGCGATGTCAGTGCATCGTCGCGATGTGTTGTCTGTGTTGAAATGAGGCCTAACTGGCCGCTCTCGTCGTAGCTGCTCAACCAGCACCAGCGCGGACGCGTAGTAGTACCAGCTGTGGACGAAAGGTGGCGCCCCCCTTCTACACCTGGGTGCGATGGCGAAGAGGAAAGAGCGGGAGGAACCAATGGTACAGTGTGAGAAGTGTCGGAGATGGGCTTACCTAGATGAGACGAGCTTTCCATCAATTGAAGCAGCAGATGCCGCAGAGTTTGTATGCAACCTCTGCAGCACGATAGAAGTGCTTCAGGCAAGGATGCGTGCTTCGGAGACTGAGATTGACACACTTCGAGGAGTGATCTTGGCGGTAAAGGAGCAATTGCGAGAACCGCTGAGAGCTGCCGAGCACAGCTGTCCTTCCCGGCCGGTACTGACTGCATCCACAGCAGCGCAGACGCATTCGGTGGATGTCCTGCAGGAAAGGGATCAAGCGGTGGTGGAGTCGGAGGGTGGCCGGCCACTGCAGTCGGTGCAGGAGCAGTTGAGCTATGCGGTCGTTGGTGAACAGAGCGGCGAGGGTGCGCAGCGGGGTGGCGGCAGCTCCTCTCATACCACCGGCGAGGCGCAGGGTCTTCCCGAACGGACCCACGAGACGGGTGGCGTCGGCGAGACAATGAATCTGAAGCACGGGACTGCTGCTGGACTCGACGGGAGCAAAGCTGACGACCAGTCTCTCACAAACGCTCAAATAATGAACAAAGACCGGGAAAGTGGAAGAAAAACAAAAGGCTGCTTGCCGCTACACACCCGAGGTCCTATTCGTTGGTGATGGCAATGCTCCAAGAATCGCGGGTGAGCTCCGAAGAATCTGGGGCAACAGTGTTCTCGTGAGCAGGTCTCGGAGCGCAGGATGACGGCGGACAAACTGCAGCACCTGCTTCAGAGCCGCAGTGAAGGGGAAGGCCACAGCG